TATAACCCCAATATGGTAGTTTCCCAAAATTAGGGTACCCCAATATAGACCCCAATATACTATAATCCTTAATATGGGGACCCCCAATAAGGTACCCCTAATTTTGGGAAACTCCCATATATACCCTACAACGCAAGTGCAGCCCCAAGTCTGCTTCGGGTCACAGGTCGTCGAGGTTTCAATGCGACATCCTTGGGGTAGGGTTTGGGGTTTAGTTGTTTTTTGGAATGTGTGGCTATTCTCGCTTGGACAAGTGGCACATGAGAGACTATATGAAACTACGTTTTGGGGTTCAGGGGCAAAGAAAGCTTTATGCTTTTTGTGAACTTCCGTCTAGAGGGGTATGTGTCTCTCTGGGCTTTCCACCCCCAAGATGGTAGCGTCCTTAGCGTAGGACCTCTGCAAGAAAGACATGATAATGCTGTCAGACTCCTAAAGCCTAAGCCCTATATAACTCCTGGTATGAAAGCCCAGGTCAGTGATGGCTGGCATTGGCAACATCTATCGGGCTGAGGTGCTGCACCGTTTGAGGCGGACCTGCTTCAATAATCTAAGGGATAGGGTTCAGGGTTAAAGGATGTTAAAGGCTTTAGGGTTTAGGGTCTTGGGTTTAGGGTTTAGGGTCTAGGCTCCAGGGGTCTAGGGCCCAGAGTTTTAGGGTTTAGGATCAAGAGTCTAGGATTTAGGGGTGTGGGGCGGATGTTTGCGGGAGACGGGTTCAGAAGCCGTGTATAAAAGGGCACGGCATCATACGATCAGGCGAACTCAGCAGCGAACGTCTACTAGAGCAGAAGTATTTCTGCATTCCTTTCGGAGGGGTTGCGCAGGGTGTCTGAGAAGTGTTTGCAAGCAAGTTTTGTGAGGTTCATACCGGCTAGACAGCAGTTGTGTCCCCGACTGCTGTCTTTTGTTTTGCAAGCCAAAACACCACACGCCAATTTAGCTTGTGCTTGTGCTGATGCAGGTGGCACCCGTTGCGGCCCGCCTTGACTCTATCGGCCCAGGACTTTGAGGCCCTGTGGAGGGAGAGCGTCATGCTACTACAGCTTGGAGCCACTCCAGTTGAACCTTAGTACGCGCGTTTGAAGTTTGGCATGGAGCCTCTAGGGAGATTGCTTAGCCAATGCTGCCCCCTGCAAGCTTTCTGTTTGCATTCCTCTCTTGGAAACTTCAACGCGAACAATACAGGGACCACTTCTGAGCTAGCTTCTCAATGTCAGTTCTTAGGCCAAGCTTGGAAACATCGTTACCGTCCTCGATGACGAGTGGGCAGACGCCCGGTTCAAGCCGCATCAGCAGACGAAGACCAAGGATTCCCGGAAGCGGCGGTGGGTTTACTTCAGGAAGCTCTGCTTGACTCTCGGTTCTTCAGATTTCCGGAGGCTTCTGTTGCAGTTCACAGTTTCTTGGCAACTTTAAACAAGAGTTAGCAGGATCTTAGCCTAAAAGGGCAACCGAGGACGTGTGGCGGCCCAGTGCGTTGTTGGACTCTGGGTGGCCGCATCTGCTTTGCCTGTGAGACCTGCCAGCCTCCCTGGAGGGACACAGACTGCGAATTGGTTGGTGAGAGTGGAGAGCTTCCTGTCAAAATGCTGAGAAGATGTTTGCTGTGTGCCCATTAGGTCTTAGACTGTTTTGAGAATTTGGTTGCCATCCTTTACCTAATATAATATAGTAGTTTCCATCTCCTTTTCCATTATCCTTATATAGACCCTTTAAATAATCCCTCTATATATATATATGTACCCTTATATATAAGAGTGGAAGGAAGCTTGCCTGGCAACGAAGAGCCAAGACGCGGCGCGGAGCCAAGTTGAGACCGCGCCCGAAGCCTGAGCCGAGCACAAAGGTGGAGGCGTTGCCCCTGCTGCTGGGCTTGGACGGTTTGGCTGGGCCACCTTCCTTTACCAATTTGGAGGAGGATTCGGAGGTCTCCTCTTTACCAGCCGCAATGTTGCGCAAACTCCTGGCTGAGCGACTGCTGCCTACGGAAGGCAAGAAGGCAGACTTGGTGGAGCGCTTCGAGGCGCACCGGGCCTTCCACGACGAGGCCGGCTTCAGTCCTATCTTTCTCGGTACAGGTGAGCGGGAAGCAACAGGAGTTGTCTCTGTGCCCGCAGTGCCGTGGCCCACTGAGATTCCGGAGGCGAAGTCGCTCGCTTTGATCCAGTGCTGGCGCAGTCAGGAGACGATCCATGCATGGGTGCAGCAGGACCCAAAGCGCTGGCGCTATGGCCGCCTCTCTGGGCGTGTCGGTAAGGCCGAAGGGGAGGACTTTGACTTCGAGGCTCCTGACCTTCCAGCGGAGAAGGCAGCTGACAAGTCAGAACAACCTGCTCCGACCAAGGCACGGAGCGCTTCCAAGCGAAAGGCAGCTGAAGAGGTTGTTGCGACGCCCCAGCGGAAGCGAAAGAGGCCCACAAGCCCATCCAGCAGTGCCAAGCAAGCAAGGCCTACAACAAGGAGAGCTAAGAAGACGTATGCGGCATTTGCCGGAAAGTTTGCGCAACTCTCCTCTAGTGGATCCCTCACTGCTTTTGACCTGTGTCCGGAGCCTTGTGTGAAACCCGCGGTGGACCTCGATGACGATTCGGATGCTTGCGAAATCCTGAAGAATCCTGCAGAAGAAAAAGCTGTCCGGGATCCCTTTAACATCGCTCATGGTTTGTGAAGCCTTATGCTCAACTTGTATTCAGAAAAAAAGCTCCCAACTCCTGAACTTTACTCGCGAGTCCCAAGGTACGTGCTGATGGCGGGGAGAACTTCATTGTCATTGGAGAGGGTGCAGGCCATCCAGCTTGGATACAGGGTACCACTGCCAAGGCAAGGGTTCCATGGCTTGAATTTGTATGCACGCAATATCAGGAGGCTGGGGTAAGTTAGAATACACTAAGCCAGGCACCTAACAGGAGCTGACAGTATAAGAGATGCCGCGAAAGCTAGCTCCTTGGAGCCTGCAAGAGCTTCTGACCGCTTGGTCTTATATGTCCCCACCTGTGCTTCGGCCATCAGCCGCTGGCTCGTCCGTCGTGATCTAGCTTTCGTCCGCGCTGCTCTCAAGTGATGTTGTACCTTAGAGGCACCAGACTGAGCAAAGCTTCTTTCTCGTGCTATTTGCATGCATGGCGACTTCTGGACTCTGCGATCACGAGCATTCATCATGTTTGCCAGGGCTGTACGCCACATCGTCAGCCTCCAGCGCCCCATTGCTATACACCTATGCATTCTACACACCAAAAACTCAGCCAAGGCCCTGAACTTACTTGGAATTAAGTAGGGAATAACAGAATATATTGCGTACGGGATTCTATTAGGATTATGTTCCTTGACGTATTCCCTACTAGCCGGCAGTGAGTGAATGTACAGGAGCCAAGTCGCCACTGGCGATCAAGCGCGGTGGCTTTCTCCTCTTTGCAGCCTCAGAGGTGGCTGTTACCATTCTCAAGGGGTTGAGGGTTTAGGGTTCTCTGGTCATAGGAGGATATATATATATATGGATATATGTATATACACACATATATATATAAAGGGATATATATATATAGGGATACACAGGGATATATAGGGACACCTGGAAATATGTAGGGATTGGGGTTTAAAGCTTAGAGTTCGAGATTCAGGGCTGTGTGTTTCGATCAAGCTTTCTTTGAGCTTTACAGCTCGACTGTCCCAGCCTCACGGCTGGTCTTTGGTGAGCTGGGAATGAAGGAATGGAAAAGAAAATAGAAACTAAAGGGATTATAGGGATTATGTAGGGAAAAGGGTTTAGGGTTTAGGGTTTAAGGTGGGAATGAACGAATGGAAAAGAAAATGGAAACTACTGGAATGGGTTATATAGGGACTACTATAAGGATCCAGTTCTTCATTCCTAGCTAACCAAAGGCCTTAACATGGAGGTTTCGGACTTCAACTACTTCTGTTGTTATACTGCTACTGTTTTATCATTTTCTTACAACTATCACTCCTACAAGTACTACTGGACGTTGGATGCCTTCTTTTTTAGAAGCTATAGACCTTCTAGACAGGCTTCCTGGATGCCCGGCGGATGCTGTTTGCGCAGATGTGCCTTCACAAGCGACCTGGCTGAATCAGCGGATCTAGGTGGTTGTCAAAACTATAATCCTGATTGCGTGCCCCTAACATTGGGGCCGTGTTGCAGAAGTCACCCAAAAGGGGTCATTAGTTGTGACAACCTACTATCTAGAGAATGCAGGGTCCTTCAACCGGACCTAAGCTAAGGTAGAAACTTGGGTTAGGCCCCCCATTCAGTGATAATGGTACCCCAATATGATTGCCAGTATCCCTCTTCGTCACTACTAGCGGAGGGCGGCCCAACCTAAGAGTAAGGATTTGGGTTGACCCGGAAGATTCTAAGGGTTCTCGCAGTGCTCCCTATTCAATTTCTGACACGGACTGCTACGCATCCGCTTCCACTTCCCACACATTTCTCGGGTCCTTTGAGGCATCCACTAATTTGTAGGGTGGCCTGGCGAAGTCCCCAGGGGTTTGGCATTGCTGCGCTTGAAAACCCAAGAGCAAGGACAATCAAGCTCAGTAACGGTCGAGGGTTCAGGGACTCAGGGATTGCGGGCTGGGGGTTTAATGTTTATTTCCTTCCCCTAGTCCAACAAAAGACTCGCTTTCCCGCTTCAAGACTGAATACCTTCTGCAACAAGTATATACACATATATCTATATACATATATATATACATATTTGTTGATACAGATGGATTCTTACAGGGGAGGCGTGTTCAATAGTAGGGAAGGGATAAGTTAGGAATGGCTTAGTCTGGGAGATTCTAGATTGACCACTACCAGGAGGATCCATGATTTCTGGTGGTAGTTAAGCATGAGAAGCTTTTCTATGACCGTAAATCTTAGGTGGACCCCCCACCCAGTTATAGTGACTATACGGAATAGTAGTGATTATATTAGGGTCTTCTCATATTTCTATTAGAGCACTATTGCAGGGTGGGGGTTCTCGTAGAGTAAACCCTAAATGCTAAAAGCTCTGAAGGCCTCGAAAGTAAAGCCCAAGCCAAGCTACAGGTCCAAGATTAGATAGCATTGCAGCTTACCACAAAGACGTGTTCGCACGACATGCCCAAGGGTGTAACCAACATCATGGTCCTAGATTTTCCGTATCATTCTAGTACACGGTGCCTCAAGCAAACCTAAGCATGATATTGTGAATGATTTAGGCGATTGCAGTACTTGCACGACATGTAAAGGGGGGTCAGAACCCTACAACCCTATACCCTACAAGCCTACAAGGCTATAACCCTATAAACTTTGCAGCGTGCAGCCGATGACAGGTGAGTGCCTGTCTGCCAAGCAGCTGGAGCAGGTGTGTATGCTGTGATACTTTGCCGGGTTGCTGTTAAGGAACTGAAATTAGGTTGTCATAATATGGGTACAGAGTAAATAATGGGTTTTCTTGTTATACTACATTATTTTGAGTTTCTTAACTGCGACCCAGTACTTTTTAGTTGCAGTTTCTGTGAGTGTATATAAGGTTCGTTATGCAGGTTGATGAGTGTATATGCGGGGTTCCATGCCCGAGACTGCCGAGGTGGTTCCAGGCTAACATTGCGCCCTACTTCGTTTTTTCAAGAAATACCAATTCTATTCAGCATCTGTATTTTGAGAAAATATTTAACCATCGCGTGCTCAGCATGGAAGCCGTGGAGTATGAACCGTAGAGACGAATTGCAGGCTTGAGCTACTGACCTTCATGCTGTGTTTGCTTGGTGTACTCATGCCAGACTGCGCTGTGACGGCGCGCGGCCTGAACCCACAAATGCAAGACCACGAGCCTCAAGTCTTGGTTTATGGTCTCCTTAAAGTAGATAGAACATGGGGTACATGGGGATCTTATTATAATATACCCAAAGCCATATTCTATCTATTGAGGGGGACTACACAGGTTCTGCTCAACTCCAAAACGACTGATCGGGCAAAAATTCCTTCCTCCAAACACCTTTTTTGGCGCGGAAAAGTAGTACCTAAGTGTGTTGAAGGATTGGCCGATCCGTCATCATTTCCACCTCTGCTAATGACCACTGCAACTTTGTCATTCAACATTCAATGAAATTCAAGCAAAGTCACAGCTTCAACTCTCAAAATGGTTTCCAGGCACGACTTTTTGTCTTCGGCCCCCAAAGTTGTGTTTTTCTTTGATGACTTAGTCAATCACTTGACCCTAACATTGGTTCTTGATCGCAGAAAGCTGTAGGACATAGATCTTGATATGTAAGCCTTCAATGCAAATCCAAATGCGAGACCTTCCATCTCCAGTCGTGGGTCCTTGCTATGGTGTAAGCGCAAATATGCAAGACTCGCATGAAAACGTGGGAATCCCTTCCCAGCCTGGATGTCATCACCATCACCAGCATCACAATCAGTAAGGTCCTAATTGCGTGTTTGTTTAAATCAGTTGGGGACCTTCAAGAGTTTCTCGGAACATCCATTCCGAGATTCTAACAGAAGCGCCGCTAGCCCCTGCCGAATCCCCTCAAAAATCCGATGGTCCCGGCTTCCGATGGTCCCGACTTGAGGGTCCAAGTGATCAAACATGTCTTTTTAGGCACCAAGCACGATTGAGTTTTTTGATACTTGGCTTGGATCCGTGGATTTAGGGCTGTAGAAGCCCCCAAATTTCGGACAGGTGCAATATCAAAATCGCTTGGCCAGCGGGAAGATCCGCGAATATTTGAGGGAGCAGCTCCCGCAACAGGACCCGTGATTGAGGGAATTGGTTTGGGATTCAGGAAATATGCATGGCGAGATAGCTGAGGGCTTTCGAATTTGGGGCCGCTGCAAAAGGAGACGTGTCAGACCCTTGGTCTTTGCATGAGGTAACCAGAGCTACCCGCATTCCGTTCATTCCGTTTGGGATCGGGTAGTGTTTTTGTAGGAAATCTGAGTCAAGTTCCCCATCAATTCCGTTGTGGAGTCTTGAAGTGATGGCCTCGACACTGCTTAGCTTTGGGTGCTGCTAGGACTTTTTATCATTGCTGCCTTGCCTGTTGCAGTGCTTGCTCTCCTGCTCCTCTTAGGTGAACCAGTGCCAATATTCCATACTTCTGGTGGCTATATGTAGGGCCCTTAAATCCATAAGGTCGGTGTTCAGGAAGTTTCGCGTGCTTCTTCTTCTTCTTCTCTTTTGCTGTTTTCTTCATAGATTGGACTTAAGAAAGTGAGGACAGCGCTTCAACTAACATCTCTTTTTCAACCTCATTTGCGCATAAGGTTTAAGTGGAGGTGCGGTAGTTATGCGCTAGTGGCTCCAAATGCAGAAGCTGCTTGCGGAAGCTGAGCGACCATTCTCTGTCTGCTCCCCTACTCCACAGGGCTTAGCCCTAGCCCTCAAATTTTCAACACTCCAAATTCCTCAGCTCCCAATTGCCGTTCCAATATCTGCACAGCACTTCGCCCCCTGAATCCCTTCAATGCCGTTAGAAAGCTTCGTAAACCCCTGATATGATTCGCACCATGACTGCTATGGCATCTCACATATGTGTCACTATGAACCCTGAAATAAACCTGGAAATCCGAGCCCTAGAAACTCTAAACTCCAAAACCTGAAATCCCTAACGCCTTAGCCCCAAAACCCTAAACTC